GTTTGGTCATTCACTCATGAAATAGGATTTTCATTTAGAAATATAATTATTAAATATTATTATTAAAATTAGTTAAAACATGATAAGAAAAAAAATAAAAATGCATAATATTAAAGACAATATTGAACATCGTTTTTTTTTTTTCTTGTATTTCTTCAAGGAAAAATTGAAAGTTATTTTTTTTTTAATTACAATTAGCATTGTTAAGAAAAGCACCAAAATTACCAGAATGTAGAATTTAAATTCAAAGATCATTACCACTATTGGTTGATCTCTCATTTATAATGAATTAAACCTCATACAAACAATAATTTATATCGCATAGGTCAAAACTAAATTAATTCAAAACTAATTATTCATTCAATTAATAGATAAATATGAAATGACTTTAAAATATTGTAAGCAAATAAAGTGTTGAACAAATCTCTTTGAAGAAAACCCTTTTTATAGATTTTTTTATATTAATTGTTTTAATGTAAATTGTTTTAATGGATTTTCTATATACCTGCATCTTATTTGTATACAGAAGAAAATTTTGCTATTTTATTTGTGGTGTTTGATATGTTTAATAAACAACACCCTACATGTACCCTGTGCGGTTCCTATCTTTTCCATTGTAAAATCTTTTGTATCTTTAAAGAAAATGGTTGAAATGGAGGATTTGAGAAAGATTATTTTTTTTCTAACTTTTTTAGTGATTGTTTTATGATATGACACACATATGTCTGTCACCGTTCAATTCTTAAATTAATTAATTTACCTTTGAAATGAGAGACGAATGAAAAGAAAGCACATCCTCTTTATCGAGGGTCTTATTAATACACTAATACTTTATGTTGAGTGTATGTACAATACTCTGTCAGGAAATAAGATACCATTTTTAGAGTGTCATTGGGGTATGACCCGAAGTCGGTCACGTGATCAAATTCTATAACGCCCGAGGGCGTTATAGTGGATTTCATCACGTACCAACTTCATGTTATATCCCATTTACACTCTGAAGATGATATCTTATTTCTAATATTTATATCTTTATTTCTCTTCACATTACAAAGACAAAATGCTCTATTTAAATTTTGTTATTGAATGTAACATAACGTATAATATTTTATTATACTTCTGTTAAAATGTTTCCTATATAAAGTTCAGAAGGTAAAATAGCTATCTTTTATAGTTCACGCATAGCTTTGCTATATCCCGGGGTATAGTTTTTGCTATCCACCCTCGGAAAATTTTCATGCAATTTTTGATTTCCAACCTTAGATCTATCTACTGATGATGTCATAATGACTTCAGTAGCATTGTGACGTCATCAGTATTTCAGATTATTCTTGCAGTATTATCTTACTCCAAAAAATTCAAACCTCAGAAATTATATTATACATCAGTATAATAAAATGCTTATCCACTGTTTGTGAGTGGGATAGCTCTTTTATCAAACCCGCCACAGAGAACTATTCCCCGAGGGCTTGCCCAGTGGATAAGTGTATAATATACAACGTCATATGACGTCACAATCAAGACTTTCCAAATGTCTCGTTTGCTTTCCATACGCAAGAAAGGCTGATCATGTGACCGACTACATGTCACTGAAAATTGAATTTCATTTTTTCAGTATTGTCATATAAGGAAAGACGTTGGCAAATGTAAATATTTTAATTTAGACTTTGCTAAACAATAGCATATCTTACTCTTCTGATCTATCAAAACAGGAAATCTTTGGCAAAATAGATGTACACATTATTCCTCAGTGGCACCTAAAATGATCAAAATAGAATTAATAAACAATAAAAGTTTTTAAGTTGTTCAATTTTAAAATGCTACAAAATGTTTAGCAGCAGATTTATATATGTAGGAGAAGGAGCACACGGCGAGTGTGACCGGTCGGCAGGGGATGCTTACTCCTCCATGGCACCTGATCATCCCTCTGATTTTTAGAGGCCCGTGTTTGCTCTGCTCCTATTTTGTATTGTTTTATGAACTTTTTAATTAGAATGCTGTTCGTTTAACTCGAATATCACGGCATATTGCATGAAGTATATCTTACAACCCGTAGACCATCGTCACTTTTTGCATGGTAATAAGCATGAAGCCAAAATCTGAATTCATGTCATGATTGTGTTTAAGGCACTTCTCCAAAATTTCAAGCCATGTCATATTAAATTTTCTGAATTCGTATCGTTTTCACGTTTAAGTGTTTATGTTACTTTTAGTCATGAACTTATCTTGAATGTGTGAAATCATGTCATATTTCAATATCTTTTTTTTCAAAATCTAATCTCCAATACAGTGAAGCCTGTTTCATACACTGAGAGACGAATTCTGTGTCGGAATAGACAGTATGTCGGATTGCACAGTGTAAAATGACATGAAATTGAGTAAAATTAGGAAGAAATGTCATGTTGGAAAGCAGAAGGATAAAACGTACGCTCAACTAGGACCTTGGGTCCCCGGCAAATAGTTCATCATCCTGCGTAGTAATAAAATGTTTTAGGAACTCTTCAGGTATTAGAAGCACAAAAGTTCTGATGTTGGAATCGACCATGTAAAGGATTGCAGAAATGTCTACCTGGACAGTTCTCATTGTATTTTCATTGAACATTGTGTAATTATTATCATTATATTTTCAACAGTGAACTACTTATACTACTTATTGAATTAAAAATGTCCTTAAATTGTCACGTTGCGAAAGGATATCAATATGGTATTCTGTCACGGCGGGGGAATATCAAAAACGCGGGAAAACTCTCCCCTCCACCTGGACAGTGTTGTTAATATCACTCCATAATCTGTTATAAGATAGAAATATTAAATAAATCATCCCGACAGAGTCTGAAACTGTCAAAAAAATTCAAGATATGTTCAACATGTTATAATCCATGATAACATTTTTGTTTATCTCGTAATTCCATAATCTGATCCGCTCAGGTATGACGTCATAGATGACTGTGTTGTGAAAAGACTTAGGCAAAGGAAATGTAATTAACTTTTTAAAGTTTAATATTGCAATAATTTCACTCGTGGGACAGGATTTTTATTATTTTCACTCGTGTTTTGAACTCGTAGAAATATCAAGAAATCATGTATACCACTCGTGAAATAAACAACATTTTCAACTACAAAACGTTGAATACTATGTAGCTATGATTAATGAATCATAAGTTTAATAGTACGAAGACTTAGTTTGGAATAAGCTTGATTATAAGCTGCTGGGATAAACCAAAACATCTGTGTTCTATGCTGATCATGTTAGGCCAAATTCTAGTATTTAATTTGACTGCATCTGTCTCCTGGGAATCGTGCAGAATGTAGAGAGAGCTTATGGAGGGTTTTACAAGTCAACCGGGGATGCTGACTTTCCCTAGGCACTTGATCAAGCCCTAAAATTTTCGGGGGTCAGTATTAGTTTCCTGTTCAAAAATTTGTATTCTTGTAGCTTTTTTATTGATCGATCATAGTTCCTTATATTGACCTTTTTTTCATTATATAAATGAATGTAAAAAAGGATTTTAGTGTTCTTTCTAATTTTTATAGAGTTCAGATAAATTATCCGTATATTGAATTATTTTTTTCTATAATAAGACACTATGAATTTCTTTGAATATTAAAATAAAAAAAAAAACTGACAAGAAAGTGAGAAAATATTCTGATGAATTATAATTTTTTTTCCAGGTATAATTTTGATCGATATAAAAAAACACAGATATGAAGTACGCAAAATCACTAATGTAAGAAAAGGTGAGAACAGAGAAATACCACGGATTGACGCGTGATGGGCGGATTTAATCTTGAGTTGTCTGGTCAGCATTTTCTGTGTCTGAGTTGGAAGGACACACTCCAACTTGCAGAAATATACACGTGTTTCAATGATGCATCAATGCATGCCACGTTTAATTTTGAAGTCAAGATTCGCAAGTTCCATGATCGATACACCTATAACGTTCTTATAGCTATTTCTAAACCCTTAAGTCAAATTTTGACTGGTGTTTTCCCACCTTCATCATAGATCATTACTTACACATTGAATTTTCTGCATTGTTTAATCGTTTCTCCGGTCATTTCCAATAAAACACATAGCGATGGTTACCGTTCGAGTGGAAATGACCACTCCTCCATGGCACCTGATCCTATCTATTTTTACACGAGCCATTAGTATTTTAAGTCTCCATGGAACCTGACCCCACCTCTGATGTTAAAGAGGGCCCTGATTGCTCTGTTTCAACATATTTGTATTGCTCAATAACCTTTCAAATGGAGCAATGTACGTCATATCCATATAGATCATATTATCATACATTGACCAAGAACAAGGCACAATTTCAATACAAATTAAGCCCTGTACTTTTTTAAAAAAAATATGAAAGTGATATAAGAAATCAAAATTCATTCTTTCTAAATCAAATGATTTCCATTCAGTAGGTATACACAAATCGTTTTTCTCATATGACCTCCTACATACTTATTGTGACGTTATGTACGTGAATTTTCTCGTATTTTCTTTGAAAAGTTGAGGAAGATATCAATATTCAGTGGGATTTTCTTTCAGAAAATTTATTTTGCATGCATCACCCAAAAAGATTTTGAGATATGTGATTTTTCATTGCATAATATATTTTAAAATTGAAGTGGGTGATGGTGGCAGACCATCATAAGGTTAGCCTGATGAATTCGAAGCGTAACCGCCTTTCAAGCCGATTTACACCTTTAGTTCTTTTGACGGAAAACTACGGAGACCGATTAGTGCAATATTGATATCCGAATATATTTAATTTCATATTTAATTGTCCATCTCAAATGTATATATAAGTAATAAATAACAAGTTTAAAACTTCAATGGGAATTGAAGTGGGTCAGTACGTGATCAAATCTTGTGAGAAGGCCTTTGATTTGATCACGTGACCGACCCACTTCAATTCCCATTGAAGTTTATAAACTTATTTATTTCTTAATTACATAACCTTTTAAGAATGTTGAACCTTTAGAGCAAAAGAAAGCCAAAATCGTAAAGTCAACTTTAATGATTCAAAATCATAGATACATATACATGATTGAAATGCACGACAATGTCGTCCTCAAGAATTGGTGTACATCAGTACATGTACAGTCAATTATGGTAGTTGACTTTTCTTTTCACAAAGATTAACTCAACATAAATGTACAATTAGTTTTCACGTGAGGTTAAGTTACTCTAAAACGAGTTTTTTTCATCTGGTTTGTGTTTTCTAAGTTGTGAGTTGAATGATAATGCGTTGCTCTATATGACTTCGGTGCAAGCACATATAATTATCAAACTCAATACATGTATATCGCTTATATATCTCTTAAAACATGATACATGCAAAAAAAAATCAAGACAGTTCTAAGTTCTTGAAAGGTTACGTGATATAACAGAAAATTAATAAATTTTCCGTTTTCCATGAATTAATTCTGTAATATGGATTCCGCGTCATTTGGCGCGGCACACAAGCTCTGGGCCCCTCCCGAGGGGTATCGATGACATTGTAGTTTGGCAGGCCAAGGCAGACCGCCATACAACCCTCGGAAAGTCTCTAGACAAGCCGTCTTTACCGCTTCACATGTTTCACGGCAAGGCTGCACAAAGGGTTGTTGGTCACTTTGACAAAATGGCGCGAAAGTCCCACACAGCAGGAACTGCAGATTTTCGTGGCACTGGGTTTGTAGAAGTGGTCTATACTGGTTCATCTCGATTTCAATGAGCCGTTCGTCACTTTGGAGGAACATATTAGGCAATGTTCGTATGGGAGGAGATAGATTTTCACACACGCTGAATGTGTTGCGCTCGCAGTAGGCGTATCGGAGCGGCCTCGGTGTAAGTCGCCTGGGGACTGGCTTCAGACAGGATCCCTGTCTCTTCCGCCGGAACCTGTTACACTTCAGCTGCTTGTTGGGCCATTTAGATCCGCCTTGTTTGAGTTTTTTGCTGCAGCCTCGCTTTGCGCTGAAACAAGTCTCTCGGCATGGAAGTTCTGTCGTGTTGCTTCCCGGCGAGCATTTCGGTAGGAATGTGCCACAAACCGTCAACCGGAAGTTCTTGTGACAATCACTGTCCATAAATGGCCAATACCGCTCAATAGCTCTGAAATATTAATGATAACATTTCATGTAACTATGTATTTATAACAATATCGTTACTTAAAATATTCCGCAATTATGGAAATACCAAACTAGAGGTACTGTGAGCAATGAGCTCACTAAATGTTACCCCCGCCTCCCAAATGAATAAAATGACAATGTCCATGTTTTGCTTTGGGAAAACCAAAATATGTGTCGGATCAAAAAGTAACATAGGAGTTGCACAATGGAAATATGTGATAAGGATTCTGTGAAAGTTTTATCAAATTTCATTCAGTGGTATGAGAGGAGATACGGATAGGAGATGGGTACTCCAGAGGTAACAATCCTAACATCAAATGTTGAAAGTTATCGAAGGTTTAATGAAATTAAACAAAAAATGGTTCACACGCCAATGTCACAATCAGGAGGTCAAATATGTTGAATTCCAAAGATTCAAGGTCAAGTCACAAGAAATATCAAAACCCTGAATCCTGGCGTTTTGAGCTAGGTCAATTTTTTGCGGAAAAAAGCAGGCACGTAGCAACGGGGGGAGGGGGGGCAAGGGGGGGGTCTGTCCCCCCACTTTTTTTGCCAACAATACCTTTACTATTGAAAATGTGCATTGAAAGGCTGGTTGGCCCCCCACTTCTTATCACAGTGAAGTGATATCGAGGAAATGTAACACCCCCCCCCCTCCCTCCCCCCTCCCCCCCCCCCCCCCACGAAATAGGATTTTCGAATTTGGGCAATTTTCATTTCTTTTTCTTTTTTTTATTTATTTATTTACTTTTTTGCTTGTCAACTTTTACAGGTAAGTAAAAAAAAAATTCTCTGGCTGCATGCCCCCCCCCCCCCATTTCAAAAACGATGCAGTACGTGCCTGAAAAGCGTAGGGAGATACCGACAGACACTCTGACAGACGGACAGGGCCACAACTACTTGACGTATGTATATTCCCCCAATATTAAATAACGGGGAAATTAAAAATAATTACTATATTTTTAGGGGGCTAAAAATAACAACAAACTCTTAGGGGGATCATGTTTAGTGTGAAATTACAGAATGTACATGTAATGGATAGTTTTCAGTAGACCCATATTAACAAGAGTTATTTCCCGTTGGCCGCCATATTGGGGGTCAACATGCTCATATTCCTTCATTATTCAACCAACTTTAACTTTTATATTGGCAATTGTGGGGTGGGAAGCATTGTTTTTCTTAAAATATACATTCGTTAAAGCCTCCTTTATTTAATAATTTTTATTCCATTAAGATTTTCCCCAAAATATTTCTGCTACACTCTCTTATATTTGGTAGGACAAAGGGGGAAAATTACCTGGCTGACCCCCAAGATGGCGGCCAACGGGAAATAACTCTTGTTTATTTGGGTCTACTGAAAACTATCAGGCACTTAATTAATTGTTTCGAAAACGGGGTATACCACTTATTTCGTTTCGAAAGAAGTGCCTACGGGTAACAGACTGAAAGCAGAGGGATTTAACAAAGTTTTGACAACTGGAAGTACTTAACATTTATTATAATGCACAAAAATACGTGTGACTTTTAAAAGGTGTCTTGGATCTAACATGTCTAATATACAGTACTGTACTATTCACTTACCTGTAGACTTGTACCTGTGTGGTGTGGCCGAATCTATTAGGGAGCCGGGTATGGGTGTACCCCACTAACCCCCGACACATCGGCACCATGACCTCCTCACACGCACCGTCACCATAGCAACCGTTTATCGCCAAGACGACAGCGACAAAGAATTGGAGAAACATCCCTCAGTCTTGGACTTTGAATAAAGAAAAAAGATCTTTGTTTGCGGAGGGCGCTGCGGGGTCAGTTAAGGTCGCTGTTTTGTACAGTTAAGGAGAACTTTGTGTTTAAGGATCACTGTGTTATAATTACCGGAAATAGACAAGCACCGCCAGAGCTACAGAGTCGAGAACTTGACCGAGTTTTCTATTAAAATATAAAAGTGCGATATATTTTGTTGTTGTTGTTTTTCTTTAAAAAAAATATTGATAAGATCAGGAATTCTGTAGGTAAATTGTAGCTGTGTGAAATAGAAAACTGCTTGCACAGGCTAACTGGGGGTGGATTTACATTTAACTTTTTATTTTATTTTTTCTCTGGTGAGAGAAAGTGGATTAACTGGGTTATTTAAGTTTTGTACAATTGTGTTACGATGATTTAAAAGTCAGACAATTTAATGCTAACTATACAACAATCAAAGTTTTTTTTTTCTATTTTTATCTAAGAAAACAAATGCCTGCGTTGGCGTGGGAGTGAGAGCTCGGACATGTAAAATATAAAAAGTATGAAAGGGAAGACAAACAAAAGAAAAAAACCTGTTTCACAAAACCACCTACATGTCACTCCTAACTGTTATAGGGTAGGGGTTGATGTATCTTTAAAAAAAAGCAATTAAACACAGAAATGTTTGCATGTTGTATAATAACTATAGAGCATTAGTATTACAGGGAGACAGCGCCATATCAATAGCTAAAGGCGCAATTTTTCCATAAAAAGTTTCCTGTCAAAAAGAAAGGAAAAAAACTAGAGCCGAGCTCGTTGCAAAGCAACGAATAGGTCTTCCGTTGGAGCTACGGATAGGAAGACGTAACCTTGAGTCTAGGTCAAGCCACATTCTAAAGTTATACAAGTAAGCAACCTAAAGACTTGTAAAGAAAGAAACTTACAATGTTAAATTTTCACCATGAAAAACACTGTGAAGGAATGTATGTGACCTTGAACTTTATAAATGACCTTGCGTCAAGCTATGTTTCGCCATGAAAAACACTGTAAAGGAATGTATATGACCTTGAACTTTCTAAATGACCTTGCGTCAAGCAATGACAAACTCTGTTATAAAAATCTAATACCGTATAATCCCTATTTACCGCCCCGGGTGCTTAGAAGATTTCGAAAAGGGGCCGGTTATTTTGGTATTCTCTTCATATTATTTAATGTCATTCTTATACTTCAAAAATGTTAAAGAACAACTAAAATAATGTCGAACTTTACTTTAAGTGAAGATAATCCACCCAATTTATGCGATATGATTCATTTTCCACTGAGAAATTGGATAATAGACAAGTTACATTTTCACTTTGTTAAAATTTTGGCAGACGTTTGATACGATTCTAGATGATTTTAATCATTGTAGAGGGGGCCCTTGTTTTCTAATAATTGAAAAAAGACCTAGGGGGCGCTTATAGGGGCAGGGGTGGTTAATAGTTATCATACGGTATGTGTATTACCGACTGGAAAAGTACACACATGTTTTTTACACATTCTTTTAGTCCATGAATCCAGCCAAAACATCTTATCTTTAGTGACCTTGAACTTGAGTCAAGGTCATGTCCCATCCTGCATTATACATGTATCAGCAATGTTTCACAGGTACAAATACTGTAGCGAATTTACAGTTTCTCTGTCAGTAACCTTGACTTGTCTGAATGAATGGATATGTTCAGCCTTATTTTTTCTGAGCATATACAGTATCGAATCGGAAGAATTTATTAGGTTCAACACTATAATTTAGCTAAGGATTTAACAAGAAATATGTCTATAGGACATGAATGCCCCGCCAAGTGTATATTAGTAAATAATGCAACATTAAAATCTGTATTAGTGTATGACGTTTGTTGAGAATATCTTGAGTAGTTTCTTTAAAATTGAAATCTTAAAAAATGGATATAGATTATAAAATCCCCTTCAGATAATGCATAAGCTTACATAAAAATATCTTAAATGGTTTCTTTAATACTAAGCAAAATGCAAATTAAAGACAAGTGAGGTAAAGGTCACAGGAAAGTGCAAGGTTAAAGTGTATCAGCATACTAAAGTTTGATAAAAATGTCTTGAATTAATTCTTCAAATCTGAGCACCGCCCGTGTGGCACAGGGGTTAGAGCATCTGTTCTAGACTGAGGTTTGGATATATCTCTCAAAAGTGTGCATATATTTTGGCCACTTTTGTATGTAAAAATGCTTACATGTATATAATTAAACTTACATGTACAAGCATATTCCCGTAAAATCGTGCAATTGAAAATTCTTTTCGGGTTTTTCCCGTGAGTTGGAAACGTCACTTACTGGTACACTTACAATTACGCCGTGGTATTTCCATTTATAACTATCGGAGTACACGATGTATTTTTAACACCGACATGCCCGCGGTTCTCTGCGGCCACGCACGTGTGAACGAGGACTCGGGTGCAAAACTTTTTGACACAAGGCAACAGAGGTGGATGTAAACTGTAATGACATAACTGAGGGCATTGTGGCATCGCACTTTGAAAAAAATGCATAAAACAAATCCTAGACTTATAGATTTTAATAATTTAAATTAAAAGTAGATACACCCCCAAGGTAAACCCCAATTTTTAATGCCTATATAATGTATCTGCAAAACATTTGTGTGAACCCCCACCCCCCACCCCCACCTATGCTTCACAACAATATAACTGGTATGACGTTAAAATTTTTCAATAAATTTTAGTTTACATAAAATGCATGAAAACTGTAAAAAAAAAAAAAATAGTTCAGTAAAATATTTAAGAGAGAAAGAATTTTCAAAGTACATGTATGGAAAAATCAAAATCGCTCACTTTCATATCGTAAAGTGACCATACCGAAGAGTTATCAAACAGGTTCAATTATTCATATCATATCTAAGATTTGCAAGAATATTGACCAAGCCACACACATTTTTCAAAGTGCATTTATATGGTCGATATTAACGCACTTTGAAAAGAAATTTTATTTTTTTAAAAGTGCGTTGATTTAGTCCCAAATTTAACGCACTTTGAAAATATTTTTCAAAGTGCGTAATTTTTCAAAGTGCGTGGTAACAGGGCATACACAATGAAATTCGATTATTCGTGGACGATGCATCACTGTTTGCAATAGTGGACACTGATATTAATACTCCTACATGATCTCTTACAACCGATCTTGATAAAATAAAGAAATGGTCACAAATCTGATTTTTATTAGATTTTAGGTATAGGCGAATGTGTGTGGATATGTGGAAGGGATAGTGTAAATTAATTCATTCAAGATTTGCTAAATTGTTCGTTCGGGCGAAGACTTAGAAAAAGTGACACACTGCGCGTGCAGGTACACACCAGTAAATGTTATCATTAAAATAAAATTTGACGGACATTAATTTACTGGTACATGTATTTTAGTTATCTGAAGACAACGTAATCTTAAGAGAATGAGGCATTATATATATTTTCTGTTTTTCATACCCCAGATTTCCTTCTTTTGATTTACCGTTTACACAGGCCTGTGTTTTAACAGCTGTTCATAAATGCTGTCAATTAATATATGATACGAGAAAACGATACATCTCTCGGTAATTTATATTTTAGGGGGAAAATATAGGTGAAAATATATAGATTGACACCTTAGTATTTACCTGTGTAATTATGAGGTTACAAACCGTGACGATGACTGGACAGGATGGGCTACCCGTTATAAAAACAACTCATAATCAACTCTGCGGAACTCTGTGTGTCTCAATCTACATACTTTGGAGGCGCGTGTGAATGTGGGATTTTGTATTGATGTATTCTGATAAAACGCTCGATATTTGTATATTCGGGATGTATACAGTTGTACATTGTAAGGACGACGACAAAAGAACGTATATTGACTTACATACATATGTACATTTAACTTAAGATACAAAAAATCTATCACTAGTAGAAATTAATCAAAGGAGCATATTTTCGATGGTATTTGAAGTGAAACAGATCATGACCTCGATGTCGAGAAAAACATTTGCTATAAAAAAATAACTATATGCAACTTTCATTTAATTCAGCAAATAAATTATTGAATGAAATGCACTAGCGACATAATCAGTCAAAGATACTATGAAATAATCTGAAAGATTCAACATATTAATATCCACTCATCAATTAGTTAACAAAATTAAATTTATCCATTCTGTGGTTTCTTTTGTGTATATGACTGGGGGTCGCTGGATCACACGTCGATTGATTCCCGGTGACCGACTTTGCCCCGCGTTATCGAGGGAGGTGCGTTATATAATTGTAAACAAACAAGGTGAATGTAAAAGGAGTGCACTTAATGGCTGTGAATAGTATATGCTTTACAGTTATGTTTTATTTTCTCACTATATTGTTTGTTTTTATATGATAAGAAGAAAAGATTATCTTTTCTTCCATTTTTAGTAGACTTGATTTATAGATTTTAAAAAAAATGAAATAAAAGGGAAAGTTGTCAGTGAATAATCATGATAATTTGGGGGAAAAAAACACAAAACACTTCAAGAACCTTATTCTAAAAAATATTAGCATCCAATGTAGCCATCTTTATCATTTATAGTAAGTTTGTTTTGGTTTACACGCACGAGGAGCTCGCGTTTACGTGCTGAGTGAAAAGAATTACCTGTACATATATGGGTCATGCATCTAGCTCATTTAAAACAATACTCGAACAAAACAATTTCATGAGATAATAAGATGTTAAAGCAAAACTTCATAATCGACAGTCATTCCGAAATATTTACCGTTTTCGAGTTATAAAGCAAAAATTTTCAAGGGCCCTAGATCCCTAATTTTAGGGGCCAGCCCCTTTTAATGATATTAAATGAAAGCTCGTGCAATTAGGCACAACTTTTATTCAACATGTCTTAACAAAATATTTTTAGTTTTCAAGATAAAAAGGAAAATATGTGTTAATTTTCGCTCTTTTACGCGTTCTAATTTTTGACCCCTATAGAGCGCCATTTTGAATACAGAAATCGAAAAACAAAAACCGATGTGCACAACTTCAATCCTTCTGTTATCTAAAACCAGTAAAATTTCTGCTCCAGCTTTTGTGGTCTCTGAGCCTTTGTCTGGAAATGAAAGCCTATAATTTTTCGTTTAAAGGGAAATAACTCATAAGCGGAAGTAAATTTTTAAAATGTTAGACAGTATTCTGATAGAGTTTATTACCGTCTATAATGTCTGAAAATTTGAGCAAAATCCATTGAGAAATGAGTGAGATATGAGGCCTCAAAGTTGGCGTCTAGGAAGAAAAAAAAAAAAGAATAATAAGAATAATCTTAATCATCAGAATCAGTAGAAGGTCTTCCGTTGGAAACGGAAGACCTTAACAAAACAAATGAACAGCATCAAGAATACGCTGTAGCCCGTGAAAGAAGAGGCATGTTCAACCCCCCCCCCCCCCCCGAAAAAATGGCACTATCGATAATACGTTATGCAAATAGAAACATACACACAGGAAACTTTTTACCACAAAGTCCTGAGCGCTGTGTGTGAAGCAAATCAATATCCGGAAATTTTTACATTTCCATTCTATCTTTTACCTTGCAGCGTTCATATCCCGTTTGAGATTTAAGAAAAAAATCAACACGGAAATCGAAGATTCGGAAGAATGTTGACGATGAAGGTAAAATAGACAGGTTAGAAACTGTTAACCGAATTAGGGTTCAGGTAGGCTATCAAGTTTTTCAAATTTTTCAACTGGAATGAGCACTGAGCGTTGCGCTGAGTCGTGTTCAGCATTGTCTAACAGGTACAACGCAATCTATCTATTCACTATTGATCAGTTGATTTAGCTGAAGACTGATAGATACATGTACTGATGAAGCATGGGATAACTATAAAGCTTTATTAAGCTATTCAAAGTACCTTGATTTAGGGAACAACTTTTACATTACTAGCCCCCCAAAATGGGCTAATATATAGTGTCATGATTAATTTTTTTTTACGCATAAAACAAAAGCAACTTAATTGAAAAATTAAGGATGGTGTTAACAGGGAAAAGTGGCTCGCATGATTTTCATGCGATTGCCTTTTCGCATGAATTTCGTACGAAAATCATATAAAAACCATGCGAAAAGTTCCACATGCGAATTTCATGCGAATGTCCTCATATAATATTTATACAAAATTCATACGATTTTCATGCGACTAAGATTTCGCATGATATTCATGCGAATTCCAAATTATCAGTTTTTCATGTAAAAATCGTGCGAAATTCGCATAAATATCATGCGATATTCATATACAAGAGAAAAAAGCAATGAACAAAGAAATTGAACATTTCAATATTTATTTAGGTTTTTCTGCCACATAGAGTGATAAAAATTGCCAGTCTCTGATATCATATTGCTTGGATGTTCCTAGGTAATCCATTGACTTTAATGATAGCTGTGTTTACATGCAGTTTTTCAGTACGTCTTTTTCAGTCTTGTGTCCTGACAAGCGTTTCCTACAATTAAAGAAATTTTGATTATTATAAAATACTATTACCCATACTAACATTTCAATTGTTTAGGTCAGAGGGACCTATTCCTAAATTCGATGACATTAAATACAATGAATTCAATTATATCACTTGAAAAGTCCATGTTTTGGCAACTTGTATTACTGCAGAGTATGCTAAATGGTATATATATTGTAGTAGGAAAGGATAAATGCACGAAGAAAACATATGGCTGGACCGGGAATCGAACCCGGGACCCCTGTATTACTAGTCAGGTGCTCTAACCACTGAGCTATCCAGGCCGATATCCACGGTCCGTAAAGCCCGAACTTCTACATTCCTCCCTCCTTAAACAGTCTTCGACCTCGAAGACACAAGTTCTAGGGCCCTGCCAGGAATTACTAATTTACACATACACTGTAACCTGAACAAAGCCCCCCACACTGGCCACCAAATGTAGTAGGAAAGGAGAAATGCACGAAGAAAACATATGGCTGGACCGGGAATCGAACCCGGGACCCCTGTATTACTAGTCAGGTGCTCTAACCACTGAGCTATCCAGGCCGATATCCACGGTCCGTAAAGCCCGAACTTCTACAATATGGTAAGAGCGAAACAAAACACCATGTGTTAAGCACATTCATAACTGCATAATAGATTTTAACACATTCAGTGTCTTATTGACCTACTTTATATATCCTGATATTAGGCTGCTATTGAACCCAATGAGATAAAATGTTTCATTTTAATTGTGATATTCCTATTGGATGACAATAAACATGTCATTGATGAATTTTTAATAAATTACATACAACAGTACAATACTGAAAAGATTGATTTTTTTTAAATCTGGATAGAATAATTAGAATAGTACCTCAATTGTGAATAAATCAAATGCAATAGTTAGATTTTTTTGCATGGACCTCAAATTAACAGATTAATCCCCTAGAAGATGGAACCTTTTGTTGGACTTATCATCCTATGTCTAAATTATTTTGTAGGATACACTTAGTCTAAAGAAGCTGTGGTTACAAGTCTCTACATATGTGTCAGAACAAAACACACAGTCTGTGTAATTGTGTAGAGACTTGTAATGTCAGTTAGTTAAAATAAAAATAACTTTAAATTATTTACTCAGAATTTAGTAAACCTTCAAATAGATGTCACCAAGCATAAAAAGACCATTCGATTCACCTGGCTGCGTTACGTAGACGTTGCAAGTTGAATTATCAATAAAAATGTGCATTATAAACACAAAATATGACAAACAATTAACAAAGCATACATATTTACCATTGTTTTAAGGAATTAGATCACAATCAACCAGAAGGAAAGTCTGGAACAAACCATAGAAGGGAGCTCTCGCTGACTCGGTTTTTTTTTTCTGTAACAGGAAGTGCAAATGGAACCTGGCTTTTCAGTTTCGTATTCATCCAAGAATCGGGAAATACCTTAATTTTTATAATTTTTGTGGTTCAATTTTTTATCTTGAAAATGTATCTCCGCTTCAAAGACGAACGTTGATGACTAAGTGATACAAATTTAATTTATGGAACCAAAGCTAGTTTTTTTATGGAATGCCGTACGTCACAAATTACGTCATCATGCGGCTTAGAAAGCAGAAAGAAAGAAAGAGCAGAATGTTTTCAACTCCATCATGTCCATATTTTCTGTAAGTTTGTAAGATTCTCATCTTTTTTTTAATACCAGATAGATGTAATAACTTTATTTGGGAATATCTGTTGATTTAATCATATATATAGGCGCTTGGTTACAGGATGGTGTGTTTTGTGTACTCTTTTTATATGATATATTTTAAAAGTTTAAACGTGCTAATTTCGGCGAATTTTTAGTTTTATTTTAATGAGGGTATTCAGACACACATAGAAAAACACAAAATACACCATCCTTCAACCAAGCGCCTTTGGACTTAATAACAGATTCAAGTGGATCTAACATTATCTATTGTTGAAATGAAAGATGGGCTTGATACAGGTTCTCTGCCTTTCTTTCAATATTATTGAAAAGGCCTATTGAACAAGGGTAGGCCTAATGTTTTGTTTTTAATTCCTGTTGCACCAGGATCTGGTATATAAAATTAAACTGCAGCAATCAAATAACACACAAAGTGGCGAATCCAAAGGGGGGAGGGTGTAGATAGAATGTTCTATCGTTAAAATGATAAAAATTTATGTCCTACGGATCCGGTGAGAGCTTGTCCCGAGACACAGATTATTCTAACTACGGGGGTTGCAACTCTCCCGTTGGATTTGCAAAATCCCCCCAAAAAAAAAGAATAAGAAGAAAGTTTCAAATTTTTGTATTTGTGTTTTTACCATAGAAAATGTTCAGTAAAAAGCTAATGTTGTAATGTATAAAGAAATTTGGTCGTGAATACAAAATGACCCCGGCCTTACAAAATAGGATTCTCAGGTTCTGAGATCAATATTTTCCTTTCTTATATTATTCAGAAACTTTTCAGGTAATCCATACAAATACTTTTTTCTAGTTTAATCAATCTCCTTGCCCACAGGCAAGTGGTTGATAAAATTTCACTTGCCCACTCTTAAAATTTACTAGCCCCCGATGACGGGCGTCGAGCAGTGGGATTTGTCATCCCCTGTTTATTTAAGTTTCGAAAATATTTATTAAATGTTGTATTCTATACTTACAGGTGTAATTTGCTGGTAATAAGCAGATCTATGCATGGCACTCCATTATACCACACTGATAGCTTCACAAAGATTATAAATATGATACATGTAAACAGGTAAAAAAAAAATCCAAGAGAGAAATATTTTTGCAGAGCCTAGCTGAGGTATACATTGTTTGTTATTACATGTATAACAATTTTGTTGTTACATGTACACATGTAGCAAAACCTTAATCATTCAGCTTAGCCTTATTTTTGCTTATCTTTGCATTTTTTAAAATATAAATACATGTATATAATCTTCATTAATTTATAGAATACATGTTTTAAATAAAGTGACAAAGGGATAAAGAACTAAATGTTATTGAACCTACAGACACTATCTCACATTTCTGAGTTTCTCTGTAGGCACAGTTACTTGTCATCACAAGGATCAGAATTCAAGTACCAAGGTAGTCCTAACTCCTGAATCTTCCTGATTGTCAAAAGTACATGTAAGTATTTTATAATATTTTTTGTTAGCTACTAGCCTGAGCCGAAGACTCAAGTGAGTTTTTCTGATCAAAATTTGTCCATTGTCTGTCTGTCGTCGTCATTGTTTTCATTAACTTTTCACCTTTTCGACTTCTCAAGAACCACTGGGCCAAATTCAACCACACTTGGCACAAAGTATCTTTAGGAGAGTTTGTTCAAATGATGGGCCCTATTTAAGGGGAGATAATTCAGAAATAGTGAAAATTTGATGGTATGATTTAAAAATCTTACCACTGTGCCAGGAAAGATGAAACTTACAGGGAAGCATCCTCAGGTAGTGTAGATTCAAGTTTATTCAAATCATGACCCCCAGGGGAAGGGGGGGCCACAATGGCCAATTAATGTTTTACATAGAAATATATAGAGAAATTCTTTAAAAATATCTTCTTAAAAACACTTTACTAAGTGTAATGTAGATTCTAAATTGTTCAAAGCATGACCACCGGGGATAGGGCGGGGCCACAATGGGGACGCAAAGTTTTACATAGAAATATATAGGAAAAATCTTTAGAAATATTCTTCTCAAGAACCACTGGGCCAGAAAAGCTGAAACTTATGTGGAAGCATCCTGGATACTGTAGATTCTAAATTGTTCAAATCATGACCCCCGGGGGTCAGGGCAGGACCACATTGGAAAGTCAAAGTTTTATATAGAAATATATAGGAAAATTCTTTTAAAAATCTTTTTCTCAAGAAACACTGTACCAGGAAAGTTGAAAGTTATAGGGAAACATCCTCAGGTAGTGTAGATTAAAGTTTGTTCAAATCATGATCTCTCTGGCAAGGGTGGGGCAAAAAATATTGATCAAAGTTTTACATTGGAATATATAAGATTTTTTTTTTAAAAATCTCAATTCTCAAGATCCATATTATCAGGGACAGGAAAGATTAAACTCATGATGATATGGAATCATCCTCAGGTAGTGTAAAATTAAATTTGTTTAAATCATAACCTACAAGGGTAGGTAAGGATCTCAATGGAGGACCAAATTTTTTACATAGGATAATTAAGGGAAAAATCTCAGGAACAGAAAAGCTATGTTCACAGTCATATTGATATGTAAGCATCCTCATGTATTGAAGATATAAATTTGTTCAAATCATGAGTACCCTTTGGGGTAGGAATGGAAATGATGGGGTGTCAAATTTCTTCGTCGACCCACCACCACACCTTTTCAGTAAACTTTTCAATTCTGATCTGATTTGTGTGTTTTCTTAGCTGATATGGTCAGATGAGCGATGTGACCCCTGGGCCTCTTGTTTAAAATTTTGACAATTATTACTAAGCTGGGAATATTTCATTGAATTTTTCTCACCTAAGCTAGAAGCTTAAGTTAGCCCTTTTTATGCCCCTGTAAACAAAGTTTCAGGGTATAGAGTTTTTCTCGTGTCCATCTGTCTGTCTCTCTGTCTGTCTGTTTGTCCGCAAAAACTTTAACCTTGCCCATAACTTTTGATTTATTGGAGCCATGACTTTCATATTTCACATGTGTATTCCTTCTGACAAGACCTTTATTTTGGTACCACCAAATTTGACCCCTTGACCCTGACCTTGGAGTTTGACGCAATTTTACATGAAAATTTTTAATTTTTACTCTGGCAATATCTTTTGAAAAGTAGACTCCAGGACATTTATACTTCACATGTGTATTTTTTATTGAAAGACCTTTCATTGGATACCAACAACCTTGACCCTTTGATCTTGACCTTGTAGATTTCTGTACCTGTGAAAAACTTGAACCTTGGCCATAACTTTTGAATGGTAAGGGATACGGCTTTCATACTTCATATATGTAATCCTTGTGAGAAGACTCTTCATAGGATACCCAGAACTTTGACCCTTTGTTTAAAAAACAAGCCTTGACCATAACAAGACCTTTTATTTGATAACAAGAACATTGACCCTTTGACCTTGACCATGGAGTTTGACCTAATTTAAAAAAAAAATTAACCTTGGCCGTAACTTCTGAAAGGTTAGGGTTAGGGCTTCCATACTCTTAGATAAGTAATTCTATGTGGCAAGATCTTTCATTGGATACCAAGTAACTTGGCCTTTAGAACTTGACCTTGGAGATTTTTGTACTTATTAAAAAAACCTTTAACAATGGCCTCATACTATCAAATTTCACAATTGCTTTCCAGTGAGAATATCCTACTTTTGGTACCTATTAATTAAATTTGCATTTAAGAAAAGTTTAATCGTTGCTATGTTGTCATACGGGGGCATCAGTGTTTCACAAACATATCTTGTTTTTTTCAAAATTTTTCGTAAAATTTTTCATTTTCATGCATTGTTGATCGAAACTTTAAATGCATTTTATAAAAAAAAAAAAAAAAAGTACAATTGTAAAAATACCAGCTTATTAAAAGTTCTTAAATTTGTGAGATTCTCAATAATATGATACATTTCAGCTAGTGACACAAGAGAAGAATGTGGAGTAAATGCCAATAAAGGCTCGACTGCAGGGGTACACCTTACTTCTCAGGAATTTCTGGTTATTACCATCCAATTCAGAGGAGAAGACCAACTTCAAGGTGACTCTTATGCATTGGTAAGGATTTAAATTTACTTTCATTAATATGAACACTTGAGGGATGCAAGTGTCAATTTATTGTTATTTGTTTTTAGACCTATTGCTTCTCTTTTCATCAGTTGTTGTGTATTATCAGTAACAAATTATCCATTACTGACAGAACCATTATCAACCAAATTTTGCATGGTAAAAGTGCTTTTTGATAGAATGCAAACAAACTAAGTACATGTAAAGTACATGTATTGTTATAATGAGAATTAAAGAGTTCCATTTCCAAAATTGTACATATAATTACGTTGCCCCTGGGTACCCAGTAATAGGTTCTGATGTTAAGTAGACATATCAAAAATGCAGTAATTCTTTGACAGTCATCTTTTTCTGCTCCTAGTACTCAGCAAATAAACTTTATGCATACATATATTATTTTATCCTATGTTTACACCTTTATATATGCCTATATGACATCTTAAAGCGAGGACTGAAGTTTCTGAAATGCAAGACAAACTTAAAGATCAAGGTGTCAAAAGGTCAAAATTGTTAGCATCTTAAGGAAGGTTTTGTCCTAAGGAATAAACCTGTGAAATAAGAGAATTTTAGTATTAAGTGTTAAAAAGTTATGGCCTAGATTATATTTTTTAAAAGTGGGTCAAACTCTTAGGTCAAGACCTAAAGGTAAAAAAAACTCATTGAAGGGTCTTGTCACAATGATTACAAAATAATGTGAAGTATCAGATTGATAGCACTAACTGTTCAAAATTATAGCCTAGGTTAAAGTTCAGGGATTTTTTTTTTGTAAAAGTGGATCAAACCCTAATATCAAGGTCAAGAGGTCAAATTTTATAGTACCCCAAAAAAGTTCTTGTTACATGAAATACACCTGTGGAATAGGAAGCCATAGCCTCACCTATTCATAAGTAATGTGTTTAAAGGTTAAATAGACAGAAAGATCAGGACATACAGTACAAAAACAAAGTAATCCCAAAACCCTTGTTTAACAGAGGCAAATTAGTGCATAATTTTTCCATGACCGTTTAAATAATAAAACGGATTCAAACTTATTCCTTTAAAAAGTTGAACTTTGAAGATATAAATACATGAACTAGTCTTAATAATATTTTTAGATTTATTTCTGTTCTTTGCTTTACAGAGAGCTTTGGAAATGCAGTTGTAAAATTCATGACTGTACTTCATTTACCGGTACCCAGTAGTCATTACAATTATTTTCTCTTGCAGATGAAACAATCTCCAGACAGATGGGTGGCCCTTGAGCAGAGAATGTTAAAAAGAATTGAAGCATTCAATAAAGAAGATTAAGAAACAGAATGTGTCCAGTTGTTTGTTCATCAAAAGAATAACTTGGATAATCATAGTGGTGCTGCCTCAAAATCTGCATGTGTTCAAATTAAGCAGTTTCAAATTAAGATGTAGATAAAGCTCATTAAGTCATTTGCTGGATCAGATTTTGAGATTGTACTTATTGCATTTTTTTTATTATCAGTAACAGTGAAACCTTGATGATTAGATGTACAAATTCATTTACAGATCTAAGTATTAGAATTTCATAATGCTTTTCATCAAATGGATTAAAAGAATTGAAAGTCCAATATACTAGGCAAAATATATACTGAGTACATCACATGGATTTGATATGAATATATTATGATATTCACATGAAATTCATATGAAAATCTGTAAAGAAAGTAGCAAAAATATTCATATGAATTTCGTGCGAATTTTTATTCGAATGATATTTGTGCGAATTTCATGTCAAAATCGCCTGATGTTTTCATACGAATATCATGCGTGGTCCTTTTCGTCTCCTTTTCATGCGAAGAATTCGCACGATATTCGTGCGAATTTCATATGTAGTTCATGCGAGCCACTTTTGCCTGTATACATGTAATCATGCTAAAGCAGAATTAAGATCTTGCAAAAAAATATTAAAAAAAAAATACGAATGCAACCGAATTTCTTAATTAACATTAAAAAAAAAACAACTCACTATCCTTAACCTGAGTCTCTTTGGTGGATGCTAGACTTACCCTGATCAATTGAAAAATTTTGCAAGGACTTGTGCAAAATATTTCAGGTGAATGTAAACCCTCAGTTTAACCAACAGAAAAATGTGCAAGGGCTTAACTTTACGGCTCCCCACATATGCAAGATCCTCCCGCTCATTGGACGATGACATAACAACTACATCACTCAACTGAAATGGGTTAAACTTGCACACTATTCGACTAATTAGGGTTAGTCTAGCACCAATCTGAGAAATTAGGGTAAGTTCTTGCACTAGTATTTGACTGATTAAGGTTAATCTCGCATCCATCCGAGAGATTAGGGTTAGTACTTGCACATTATTTGACTGATTAGGGTTAGTCTCGCATCCATCCGAGAGATTAGGGTTAGTCCTCGCACATTATTTGACTGATTAGGGTTAGTCTAGCACCTGCCTGGGAGGTCCTTAGTCCTTGCATACCATCTGATAGATTAGGGTTAGTGACTTGTTCGTTCAGATAAGTGAAGAAATTCAGTTGTTTCTGTAATTTCTCTTAGATCATAATTCAGCTTTAACAGCATTTTGTTGGTTTGTTTACATAGAACGCACTAGGAAAACGCACGCACACACTTCCTTCAGAATTAAACTTTGTTGATTTTGTTTAGAGTACGAGGTTTAAAACTTTGTTTATAAGTGAAGTTTTAACCATAAAATTCGATTTTGGGGTCAAAAGGCAAATAAAAACTCGTATTTAAAATTTTTCATCGCTCATGCGATCTCATATATATTGACTTCGCCTTTGGTGACACTGCTGCATTTAAGCCCCCTTTTCTGAGGACCTGTCACGTCATTAAATTCCATGTGCAAGACTAATCCTTGCACAAGCTTCAGTTGATCAGTTGAGTGCCGTACATGTAATTAGTCATAGTGCAACAAGCATACATACAGCAAAACTTGTTTAGTACCAACACAGATATTGCAAATTTGCTGATATAGCAAAGTTATCTTGGATCCCCAGCTATATAAATTTAAAGAATTCCTTCGAGGGATATAATGAATTATGGATATTGTAAAGTAATTTCATAGGTCCCAGTGACTTCGTTATATCCAAGTTTTCCTGTAGTACCAAATTCTTGAGATGCTTGTCTGGTAAAATCTTTGAAAAAGTAAGGATAGTTTCCAACATTTTCAATCAACATATTAATATGATTAAGTATTAAGATTGAAGCTTGTACCTGCATTTTACAGGTTGTGGTGAATCTTCAGGTATAGACGGATTTCCCTCCAGACTTGAATGACCTTGACCTGTAGAGAACAACATGAACACGGATCACACTGAGGGTATTCACTTTACTTTCAGGAAAATCTAAATTTAGTTACATAGGGTGTTCCAATTACTTTTCTTCTAATGATTGTTAAATTGACAAACAAAGCGTAATAGTGTTCCTATTGTTCAAAATCAAGTTTTACTAGACAAGAACTGATATTATAGATGTAATAATCAGACAAATTTCCTTTTTCGATTTTTTAATTGCTCTTGTCAGGAAGTTGGGTTTTGTTAATTCTATAAATGATTAATTTCATTCCTCCATTTTATGAATAACCTAATTTTTTCTGTTGTCAGGAAGTGAAGATGGCAAAAAGCGAGATCTTCTCGGTAAAAAACGAGACTCGAAGAAAGGGCAGAAAGACCAGGGCTACGTAAAGTTTGACGAGGAGGACTCGGATACATCTCAACTCACCACAGAGGAATTCAAGTGAGTAAACTCAGATACATCTCAACTCACCACAGAGGAATTCAAGTGAGTAAACTCAGACACATTACAACTCACCACAGAGGAATTCAAGTGAGTAAACTCAGACACATCTCAACTCACAACAGAGGAATTCAAGTGAGTAAACTCAGACACATCTCAACTCACCACAGAGGAATTCAAGTGAGTAAACTCAGATACATCTCAACTCACCACAGAGGAATTCAAGTGAGTTATCTTAAAGTGATTTAACTTTAAAGTTTTTTCAAAAACACTCAAGTGAGTTAACCTAGACAGTTAAAGGAACTTAAATTTAAGTGAATTATCTTTAAGTTACTGTAGATTCTGATAGATTTCAACTTATATAAAGAGGCCTAAATATCACTGTGACAGCTTTCCTTAAAGTCAGAGAAATTCAATTTGTTGATTTCAGTTTGCACACCACCAAAAATTACCTCTTAATTTTCATTTTGAATTTTAGTTAAAGAATTTCATTACATGAAAATAAACATGTTTTTATTTTTTTACAAAATAGTGTTTGTTTATATCTATAAAAGTAGAGAATCAGGAACTGTAACTCTGTAAAGCAGGAGTTGCCTCCCTTAACTTTTTTTCTTTTTTTGTTTTCTACAGAAGTCCGTCAAAAGCCAAGAAATCCAAGTCATTTTTCAAAAAGCAGAAACCTAAGGTAAGTGTTACTGATTTTAGTAAGCCCATCTATTGACGGGGAGTAATTTCTGCCCATCCACCTGTCATACTGTACATGTACATAATGTAGCACATTCAAAATTTAGCGCAATCAGTGGGTATGGAGTTGTTTACGTAAGCATGAATTAGCGTTACACGTGTTTGTGCTGTATATTCTACTTAATTATTCCTTACTTATTATTATTTCTTAGCTGTATTTATGAAATCTCCCATTGTTGTCTGCGCCAAAGCCGCTAAAATATGAAGCCCACTATTTTAAGTAATCTGTCAGACTGTGTGGTATAAGATCATCAAAGTTTGGCAATTGATGCATCTTCGGAGTAAAGCTGCATTATATTAAAACCAAAAAGTAGGTCATGGGGATGTATTTTCAGAATCGGTTAAATCAAATCTGTTACAATGTGGGGCCTTAGCGACGATCTAAGCTTGGTCAGTTATAGCATATTCAGTAGAAGATAATCCTTACCACATTTTAGTCACACATATACTACAGTCTGAGAAGAATTGTTTATTTAGATAATTTTTAGACTGGGTAAGTATGTAGGCATTCTTTTTTTGGGGGTTTTGGGAAATTTGTTTTCAGGTTTTTGTTAGATAACAAATAATAGAGTTTTTCAACAGCAAACAAACAAATTTTTATTTTAAGCCTCACCTGTACATTCTTTCATTGTGATTGCAGTAGACTTTTGTTTCACATAACTCATTTGTTTTACAAGTTCTTAATAACAAAATTAAAAGTAAATTTGTAGGAAGAAAAGAAAGACAAAGAAGGCAGGAAGGACGAAAAAGAGAAAGAAGGAAAGAGAGAAGAGAAAGAGGGAAAGAAGCACAAAATAAAGGGAAAAAAGAAATCCAAGCATGAACCTCCCCCTCCTAGTGAGCCAGGTATCTACTTCACTGAAACATCTGAGGATCTTTAATACTTGTATGTTCAGGTAGTTTGTAAGGCAAATCTTGGTTAAATAATGTGAGTGAAAATGTCTACCTGTACACTCAAATTTATGTATTAATATTTTTAATTTTCTTTGTATGAGATAAATACTTGATATTCGCATAAAACTACTGCTTCTTTGTTAAGAAAATCTTGCAAACTGCAGAAGTAAGTGGAGCTTTTAGCAAGCTTGAATGTATCGAAACAAGAGTATGTAAATATAGGGAATAAGTGTTAGAGTTTCTAGTTTCATGAAGATGATCTAGCCTTCTGCATTTATGCAAATTGTCATGAAAGCCTATTGCTTGAGCACATCATGAAACTCAAAAATTAAACAGCTATCCCTAAAATGCATACAGTCATCATAAAATAAGACAAAGAATCAATCTTTACTCACAGTGGAAGCTACCAAACCTATTTTCGGTGTACCATTGTCTGTTGCCGTGGAGAGGAGCCCAAGTCATGATGGGATAGAACTGCCCCGACTCTTCAGGGAGTGTGTGGATTACATAGAAGAGCATGGTAAGAATGGGTATTGAAGTCACGTCTTTTTTTTCTTTTGTTTGACTATTCCTTAACATCCATCTCAGGAACTATAATTATGAACTATTCTCTTATATTGAGACACCTCCACTTGCCAGTAGAGAGCTGCAAATATTGTCCTATACTTGACACTCTGGGCCTTTGAGCAGTCAGGGATTTGTTTGTGCCAGAATTGCTCTGATAAGAAAGCAGAATATGTCATTGCTGGCGCTTTATTATAAGTGTGTTTTAATGTAGTCCATACTGGTATTATTGCCAATTGTCATTTTGAATCCATATTCACTGCACATATAAATTGACTTCTCATTAAGGTTATATACTATATATCTATTGCCTTTCATTACTTGTATGATTATTATTTGTTACAGTCCTTTTAGTACCTTAGTTGTTTAACCAGTTAATCATGTGAGTGGATCAACACAAGATTCAGATGTTATAATCACCTGGGGTCCTGTCCACAAGTACCTGTGGTTATAATATTAGGCTCCTGTTTATAATGACGTTCAGTGCTTTTAGTACTTTGATTTCTTATACTCTCATCAGTATTTTGGTGTTTGATTTGCTACATTCTCACTATTATTTTAACCTTTACTAGGATTATCTTGTGAGGGGATCTACAGAATCTCGGGTGTGAAGTCTAAGATCCAGATGTTAAAGGACTGCTACAATCGTGGGGCACCTGTTTACCTGGAGGAGCACGAACCTAACATCATCGCCAGTCTCCTTAAACAGTTCCTCCGAGAGCTCCCCGAACCTGTACTGACCAAAGCGCTCATGTCAAAGTTTGAAGACGCGTCAGGTAAGCCTTAGAAAAGCTTCAGATTAACCTAGATCAGAGACACCCAGAGTAAAGGGATCATGTCAATTTTTGAAGACACCTCAGGTAAACCTTAGATAAGATAAGCTTCAGATTAACCTAGATCAGACACCCAAAGTAAAGGGATCATGTCAAAGTTTGAAGATATCTTAGGTAAACCTTAGATAAGAAAAGCCTTAAGTAAAGGGGAACATTGATTCAGAGTTACCAATTAAACCTCAGGCTCTGGAGCAAAAAAACTTAAACAAGCTCATTTCATATCTCAGCCTTACATTTCTACTATAAACTAGATCAAAGTGAGCTAATGGTAAATTTCATGATCTCAGGGCTGATTATAGACACATATAAATCTCAGATCAGAAAACTCAGGTTATTTACAAGGTTTATATAGTGTTGTTAGAAATTTTGGTCTTCCCTTCCAATTTTTTCATACAAGTGAGCTACAAATCTGCAAGTTGGCTGAAGATTTTTACATCTAAATCAAACATTTTTACTTAACAATCGTCAATTTTTTTTCAGTGGTTCGTGGAGAGATTGCAAGATCTGAAGCGTTCCGAAAACTAATTAACGATCTACCTACATGTAATCGGCTTCTCCTGTCGTGGATGATTGTCCATATGACTCATGTTATACAAAGGGTAAGACATGTTATTAGGATTGATTATTGTGGATTTTGTCACCATAAGATGATCTTTCCTAATTTAGGTCAAAGTCACTGTAATATGATTATGTGTCGACTGGCTTGTTCCACTGCAGAAATAGTTCCTTAATAATCTCAGCACTCAGATATTCAGATAAATCCCTGCACTAAAGAAAAAGTCTCAACAAATTGAATATGAAAGGTTTTATTTATCAGGAGAAGGAAAATAAAATGAGCGTACAGAACATGTTCTGTAAATGTATTATATTTAGATTGTACAATATTTGGCAGAAATTGACTTTTGAATATGTTAATGTAGATCTCAATTAGTGCAGTTTCTTATGTTCCTATTTATGTATATTTGTACAAGACATTGAGGCTGTAATTAAATTAGAGAAAGTTTCTTTCTGCAAAAAGCACAAAAAAAAAATAAGCAGTTTACAGTATTCCCTGCATCTCAATACTCAGTTATAATTAGACAGTTGCCCTTTGTGAGAATAAAAATTATGAGAAATAGAACAAAATGAGCCTACAAAACGTTCTGTAATAGTCATTTTTATTTTTATTTACCAGGAGAAGGAAAACAAGATGAGTTTACAGAACGTGTCTATCGTCCTTAGTCCCACGATGCAGATCTCACACCGCGTTCTCAACGTACTGTTCCAGTCCGCATCCAAACTGTTCTCAGACATCGAGATCAAAAAGTAAGTACTCAGTGAAATCGATGTCAAAAAGTTAGTTCTCAGTTAAACAAGATCAATCAGTATGTACTCAATGAATTCAGGATCAAAAAATGAGTCAAAAAGTGAGTACTTAAATAAATTGAGATAAAAAAGTCCCATTACTGAACAATTTTAGGTCATCCTCTTTATTCTTTTGTTTGCCATGTATCAGCCAATTATTTATCTTTGACAGATATAAACCTCTCATTATTTTTCTCTGATAGATATAAAGCCCCTATTATTTATCTCTGACAGATATAAACCCCCGATTAAGCCCACCACTTCCCGCTGGTCGTTAGAACTCCCAGAATCCCTTGCTCTCATGCAGGAAGAACTACAGAAGCAGGAGTCTCTACTGAACGCTCTCCACGCAGAGATCAACGCCGGGTCAACGGACCAGGAGAAAGAGGAACAGTTGTGGGAGGTCCAGCGAATCGTGACCCAGCTCAAACGGAAGGTAAATATAACAAAATCTTGACCCAACTTAAATGGAAGGTAAATATAATGAATCGTGACCCAGCTCAAACGGAAGGTAAATAAAACAAATCGTGACCCAGCTCAAACAAAAGTTAAAAATCACTAAATTGTAACCCAGCTCAAACGGAAGGTAAATAAAACAAATCATGACCCAGTTCAATCAGAAGGTAAAATAAAACAAAATTGTGACTCAAATGGAAGGTAATAATCACTTAATCATGACCCAATTCAAACAAAAGGTAAAATTAATATAATAATGACCCAACAAAAACAAAAGTCAAAAATCACTGCATCGTGACCCAGGTCAAATGGTGATAAATAAATCATAATATTGTGATTCAGCTGAAATGAAATGTAATGAATCACTTAATCCTGACCAAACTCAAGTAAAATTTAAAAATAAAGAAATTGAGATCCAACTCATACGAAAGTTAAATAAATCACACCTCGTGAAATAGTCCTGGCCCTGGGGAACTGGAATCTTGGTAACTCCCTCAATGATATACTTTAACTGTATAATAATGCAATAAATGGTAACCTACCTCAAACAAAAGGTAAATATCCCCTCTCAAACTATTAGTTCAACTCTTGCAGGTCAAGAAAATTGTGACTATTCAAATAAAAGGTTAATATCTCCTCTTACACTAAAGCTTCAAGTACATTAAATAAATGTTTAAAATTTCAAGACGGCAAATGTTGTATCACAAATGATTCATCTTTTGTAGATCAAACAAGCCCAGAAACAAACAACAGAGAGAAAACTGAAGGAGGAGTCGATCCCGCCCACTGTAACAGAAGAGGAAGAGCTAAAGCTTGATCTACAGGTGCCAGTCAAACAGAAAGCCCCGCCCCCTCCTCAACAAGCCCCACGCACAGGGCAAGAGGTTCCAACTACAGCAGAAACAGATCAACAAGATGATCAGCAGGTCCCGTCCCAGGAACCAGCAAATCAAAAAGAGGCTTACAGAGAGTCCGAAGAGGCTGGTCAATCCACAGCCAATCAGAAAGAGGCTTACAAGCAGACGGAAGAGGCTGGTCAAACTTCAGCCAATCAGGAGCAAGAAGAGGAAATCACTGAAAAAGTTACAATTGATCAGAAAGAAGAAACCTGCCCTACTTCACAACCAGAGCAAGAAGCAGAGACAAAAGAAGTTGTGGAAGAAGATGTTGTTGATTCCCAATCTGTGGAACCTGAGGAGAATAAAGAAACTGTCACTGAAATACAACAGGAAGTCAACCAAGAGGAAGAGAGTATAGAACAAACAGAAAGAGGAAGTGGGGACCAAACAGGAAGTGAGGAAATGGAAGTTACTGGAGAGGAAGTGGATGTTGCCAAGCCACAGGAAGCAGGAATGGTAAAAATACATCTCATGTGTATAGTTTAAAGAGATATTTAAGCTCTATAAGGCCTTAAATTGTTTTTAAGATTAATACTATGAATTATAAAGCAATTTCGACTTAATTTTTGCACTGTAATGATGTAGAAGTTAAAAGAAAAACAAAATAAAATGTTACTTAGGATTGAATGAAAAGAGGTGGTCTTCCCTACATGTTCTAAGCTAAAAAGCTTCTTACAGATGGTTGAGATCTTGAGTGAAAAATTGAACCATTTAATGAACAGAAAAAAATCTCATGTCTGAAGATATTTAACATTTATTATAGTTTATACCCCCGCTCCGAAGGAGAGGGGGGTATACTGTTTTACCCTTGTGTGTCTGTCTGTCTGTCCATCTGTCTGTCTGTCCGTCCGTCTGTCTGTCTAGCTGTGTGTCCGTCCGAAACAAATTTTCGTCACAGTTTTCTCAGCAACTACTCATCGTAGATGCTTGAAATTTTAACACAATCTTCTCTGAGGCATGCCATATGGTAGGATACATTTTTGTTAAAATTCAATATCAACTTCCTGTTTGTCTGTGCGTCTATCCGTTTCATACAAACCAAATTTTCGTCGCAGTTTTCTCAGCAACTACTCAACATAGATGCTTGAAATTTTAACACAATCTTCTCTGAAGCATGCCATATGATGGGATACATTTTTGCTCAAACCCGATGTCAACTTCCTGTTTGTCTGTGCGTCTATCCATTTCATACATAACAAATTTTCGTCACAGTTTTCTCAGCAACTACTCAATGTAGATGCTTGAAATTTTAACACAATCTTCTCTGAGGCATGCCATATGGTGGGATACATTTTTGTTTAAATCCGATGTCAACTTCTTGTTTGTCTGTGCGTCTGTCCGTTTCATACATAACAAATTTTCATCCGTTTTCTCAGCAACTACTCATCACAGATGCTTGAAATTTTAACACAATCTTCTCAGAGGCATGCCATATGGTGGGATACATTTTTGTTTCAATTTGATATCAACTTCTTGTTTGTCTGTGCATCTGTCCGTTTCATACATGACAAATTTTCATAGCAGTTTTCTCATTAACTATTCATAGCAGATGCTTGAAATTTTATTACCGACTTTGTTGAGGCATGCCATATGGTGGGTTTAATTTTGATATGAATCTGATGTAAACTTCATCAGCCGGTAATTGAACTTGTGTAAACAGTATATTAACATGACAGTGCTTATTTACATCAGAGCGGGAGTATTACTAGTGAGCATTGGCTCACAGATTTCTTGTTATTTATGTGATGCAGACAGATTTGTTTTATTCATAAGGCCCCACAACAAGAAGTTGAAGTGGTTAAGAAAACTGAAGATCTAGGATTTGACCAGTCTGCGGGGGTGGATCCAGCTGGGGTGTCAGTCAATCAGGAGGATGAATCTTCTGATGATCAATTTGAAAACACAGCAGAGAAAATTCTGGAGGCTGAGAGGGGCGTGGCTCATAACTGGACAGATGAGAGTGAGGCTGGTGTAACAGATCAAGAGGAAGGCAGGTCACAGGTTAAAGGTCAACAGAGGTCAATTGAAGGTCAGGAAGAGGAGTCAGGGCAGAGAGAAGGACAAACACTGGATGAGGCAGATGGGGAGAAACCAATTGATATGTCATTGCAGGGGGAAAGTGATGAAGGTATTACATTACAGGGGGAGAGTGATGAAGGTATTACAATACAGGGGGAAAGTGATGAAGGTATTACAATACAGGGGGAAAGTGATGAAGGTAAAATATTACAGAAAGTAATCATTATATTCAAAATTAGTGATGAAGGTACGCAATGCAGAGAGTGGTCATTACTCGTATAAGCTTGGTTCTGATATTTAAGGCCTTTTTTGATTGCTTGGTTAAGAAATTCCCTATGATTATTAAATCATTAAATTTTCATTTTTAGATTACGTGAAATATTAGGAGCTGATAGGGATTTGATAGATGGATCTAGAATTGTTATTGTTAATTTACCAACTGAAGTTGTTTGTAAAACAGACCCTGAGTTCGATAATGATGACACGTCTGTCATGTGACTGTTGTCAGGTTGTCTGTGATTTGACTTTCTTACAATAATGAGATGATAAAATTGTCCTGATGTTTTAATAGGCCACATACTTTACAATTATCACAACTTTGAAGAAGTTGTCTTTTTGTTTTGATAGATCAGGAGTTTGCTTACGATGATGAGATGATGAAGTTACTGGAAGAAGAACAAGCCCTTATACTGGAGGAGGAGGAGCTTCTGGCTATAGGTAATGAATATTCATGATGACATTTATGACAGCTTCTGGCTCAATGTATTGAATATTCATAAGTAAAGTAATATAACTAGAGGAGGAGGAACCTATGGCTGATGAATATTTATGGGACACTCAGTATATTAATAAAACTAGAGAAGAATCTTCTAACTGTTCGTAATAAATAATCATGATGGTATATATTACTCTACTGGTGTAGGAGCATCTGACTATAGGCATTGAATATTCATAAGTTAATTCATTTCACTAGAGGAGGAGGAGCTTATGGCTATAGGTAATGAACATTCATGAGTTAATTATTGAAACTGGAGGAGGAGTTTCATGCTGTAGGTAATAAATATGTTCATGGGGATATTTATTATACTGGTGGAGAAGGACCTCAGGCTATAGGTATTGAATATTCATGAGTATGCTAATTATACTAAATGTACAAATGGATCTCCTTTCTAAAGTAATGAATATTAATGAAAGTATAATTAATCAATTATTTTGATTTAGTCCATGGTGAAGATTCATTTGTCTGATACCAAAAATGATTAATTTTATCAAGGATGATAATTTACATGAAGTAATCTGACTGCATCCAAAAAAATAGTGAAATTAAAAAAAACAGTTTTAACACTTATAATTCATGTTGAATCTGGTAGATTCATCTTGAAAAACACGTATGTGAAAAAATATTGACAGAATGCTGATAATAATTATAACTTTTGACAAAAATATGGCAAATTTCTTCACATCATAAATATAAGGACATAAAGGTGTTTAATTTTATTCCTGCTTTGGAACAGCTATACATTCATGGATGTTTATCTCTGTACATATTTTTTCTCTGCTTTCAGAACGAGAACTCAGGAAAAAGATAGAGACGGAGCGTCACGAAGCGGAGAGACTGAATCAGGAAATCGACGAGCTGAAGTATCTCAGACAGGACTCGGACGTAGACGAGTACAGCTCAGAGTCAGACAGCAGCTATGAGAGCGAGGACGAAGAGGACCTACAGGAGATACTGAAACAGCTGATAGCTAGGAACGAGGAGCAGGAGGTAATAACTGATAACTGATAGAGAAAAACAGGAAATAAGTGATAACTGATAGGAAATACTCAAACAGCTGACAGCCAGGAACGAGGAGCAGGAGGTAATAACTGATAACTGATAGAGAAAAACAGGAAATAACTGATAGGAAATACTCAAACAGCTGACAGCCAGGAACGAAGAACAGGAGGTAATAACTGATTACTGATAGGAAATAATAACTGATAACTGATAGGAAATACTGAAACAGCTGATAGCCAGGAACGAGGAACAAGAGGTAATAACTGATAACTTATAGATAAAGGAAATACTGAAACAATTGAGAGAGGAATGAAGAACAGGAGGTAAATAACTGATAACTGACAGAGAGAAACAGGGAATAAGTGATAACTGATAGGAGATACTCAAACAACTCATAGAGAGAAATGAGGAACAACAGGTAATAATTGATATATAGAATATCACACTGCTGTTTTGATCTCGGCCCTGGTATCACCCCGAGCGGTTGCTTTTAGCCCAATCCCGAAGGGCGCGGGCCGAGACCATCCGAGAGCTGATACCAGGGACGAGATCAAAACAGTGGTGTGATGTTGTTTATATCATATATCTAAAACCAAAGAAAAGAACAAATATTCAGATATTTTTCAATCAAAAAAATTATATAATTAGAGTTATCTTTCTTTATTTCAATGTTCCTGGAGATGATGCTTGACAGTGAATAATAATAGAGAAAGATTTGCCTGGTCTGGTCATTAAAAAAATAGTCCTGGTGTTTTTAACAATTTCATTTCGAAGCATATTAGATAACAAAGATTTAAAAAGGTCAAAAACTTAAAAAATATTCTACTTTCACTTTGGATCGAACTGGGGTTAAAACTTCTTTAACAAATCGAACTACAACTTGTTAGTCTGAGATTTATAGTAACTGTTTGTTTTGTTTACGATATATATTAAATTAAAAATGGCACATTACATGAAAACTCTGTATTGTCTTTCTGTCAAAGCAAAGAAACGTCCATTTTTTTTTCAAAACATGATTTGTTGCTGTCCTAGAAGTAAACAAGAGTTACCTCTCTTACGTCACAACTATTATCATTTGTCACACTTTTCAAAAACAATTTTCTCTAAATTCTTCTATAAATAAATAATTTTTAAAGATCCTGGTTAAATTTTTCGATATATAATGTTACTCTTAAATACTTAAATATGAATTTTACTCTTAATTCACACAAATTAAACAGAAATAATGGTTTGAAATTTGAGGGCGAGACAGCCCCTTGACGACGGGCCGAGACAGAGATATCTCAGCCCTGAGGGCGGGACAGCCCTACTTCCCAGGCGCTGTCTCGCCAAGTCCAAAGTGCCTGTATCAGGGCTGATACAATACTAGGTATATGATAAAGGAAATACTCAAACAGCTAATAGAGAGGAACAAAGAACAAGAGGCAATAACTGATAACTGACAAATAAAGATGACACTATCAGCTGAAAGGATACTGATGTTTGATAAATACTCAAAAAGCTGAAAGATGATACTACCAGTTGTAAGTATCATTTTTAGTTTTCAGTTATCAGTAATTATCTTCTGCTCCTCGTTTCTGGCTATCTGTTTTATATCCCCTATCAGATGAGTAGCAAGAGATAATCATATCCGAGAAAGAGGCTTATTTGTCAATAATCAATACATGTAACCCATGTTTACATTATTTGTTTTGTAGAGAAAGAATGCTGAGCTGTGCAGTAAAATTCATGAGGAGAGAATGATCTGTCTGGACGTCAAAGTACAGATCAGGATGTTACAACAAAAACAACTGGAGAGTTCACTTAGTATACAGGCCATACTGGGATAGAGACAACAAACAACAAACAACAACAACAACAACAAACAACAACAACACATAGCAACACATACAGATCCAGATGTTACAATAAAAACAACTGGAAAGTTCACTGACTATACAAGCCATACTGGGATAGAGACAACAAAACAACAAACAACATATGAACAACACATAACAACAACAACACATTAACAACAACAACAACAGAAACAGCTGGAAAGTTCACTGAGTATACAGGCCATACTTGGATAGAGACAACAAACAACACATAAATATCAACAACAACTCATAGCAACACACAACAACACATAAACACCACCAACAATAAGAAAAACAACTCAGTATACAGGCCACAATGGGGTAGAGACAACAAAACAACAAACAACACATAAACAACAACAACAACAACACATAAACAAAAACAGCATAAACAACTGGAAAGTTCACTCAGTATACAGGCCATACTGGGATAGAGACAACAAACATCAAGAACACAAACAACAACACATATTAAACAAAATATTAACATCAGCAACTGGAAAGTTCACTCAGTTTTAAGGTTTCACTGAGATAGAGATTTTTTTTTTATAAAACACAATATAAACCAATTGTTTGGTAATTCGTTTTTTTTTTTTCATTTATATTAAGATTTAGTGATCCTAGTCCTATGTATATAATGTTTATTCCATTATTATACCTGTTTATAATTGTATGTAGACTTAAAAAGAAATTGAATTTCAGTTTGTGAATATATAAGAACTCTACAGATATTCTATCTCTACATATCTGTACATGTTATATCCACACAGAAAGACAAAGTTTAAACCATTTGTAGCGCAGACTTATAGAATACTGTATGCTGTGATATTTTGGCCCAGTGTTATTTTCGCCCTTTTAACACTTGCAAACAAAGAGCTAGGTCCACTTTATACTTAAAATGGCCCTGCAGATATATACCAATTGATCAATTAACACTTGATGTTCTATTTGAAGCGTTAATTAAATATAAAAAAGAGACTTACTGCTTTCATTTCCTGTTAAAAATTTTCTCAAAAAGGTCTAGGTTTTGGAGAACTGGCTTTATGAAATTGCAACGTTCTTTAGTTTTAAGGTAAACAGGTATATCTGAAGTAATTTTAAGGTAAACAGGTATATTTGAGTAATTTTAAGGTAAACAGGTAAATTTGAGTAATTTCAGTGCAGAAAATTGATATGAGGACTCTGATCTAAAAAATAAAACACTCAGACACAGTTCTATCATTTACTAGTTGCTAATTTTAGATCAGAAGTTGTGCTTTATGTTAAATATCGAAAAATAAATTGGCCATTTTTTTGTACACTTCTTAAAAATTACGAGGAAATTGACACATTTCGTAATGACATAAATACATTGACTAGCTAGAAAATTACATCATTTTTATAGATACACAATCAGCAAAGATCTAAATGAATTTCCATGCATTGTTAACTAAAACTAAACAGTTTCAGTTTTTCAGAAATTCACAGGGCCAAATGAGGCCATTAGTGAACCTTGTTCATTGCACCATCTTAATTTCTCACAGTCATAGTTTTGTTTTAGAAATTTTACTGTATTCCTTCAATTCGTCCCATTTTAAATTCACCCAAATGAGGGTGGGGCAATAGAAGCCAAAATAAAATGGGGGCCAAAATTTCCCTGTATACAGTATTTTCATTTGATTCTATCCTGATCAAAGGTCCCTAAACACACATATGGGAAACTTTGATCACCTGATGGTTTAATGTTGAATTTTACGTTTATGTATTACTACTCATGTTGTGCAATAGATAAATAAAGTTACAAATACAAAAATGGTTTTATTGCTTTAAGTACATAAATACATGCCCATTAAATAGGTACAAAGTATTTTTACATGAAATAAATACAAGATATTTTTTTTTTAAATTAAAAAGAAAATCGTTCTGTACTACATTATGCCCAAGTTAAACGATTGAGTTACCTCCCTTTTGACACTGATGGTAATTTCATTTTCCGCACATTTGTAACAACTTGATAATCCTGTGTTTTTTTTATATAAAATTATTTTATTACCTGATTATTGTAACATTAAAGTCAGTGTCTTAAATTATTATCTAGAAATTGAATTGTTCATCATTTATACACAACCATTCCCCACCATAAATGAAAGTCCAAGCTTTTTGATATCATTGACAGCTGCTTTTTCAATAAAAATGGAACTCGTAATTTAACTTACCCTCTTTCTTTACCCCTCAGTATATTAAAAATACCGAAAAAAACTTAAAGAGTACTGTGCTACAATATTCAAGGAAGGATGTGAATCTGATGTGAATATACTCAAATATTCTAAAGAACTTTTGGACAATTTGAAATTTTACCAAAACCAACACTTAAAAACTTACGACTTTTCAACTTTATGCATACATGTAACTTATTAAAGTCCAGACTTTTTGATATCATTGACAGCTGACAATGACCTTGTCAGCAAATACAATTTATCATTGAGTCAAATGCTGAACTAGAGGTACTGTGAGCAATGAGCTCACTAAATAATACCCCCGCCTCCCATGTCCATGTCTTGCTATATATTGTTGTTTTGGTAATGTGTAAAGAGGAATAACTCATCCTATCATATGTTATCCAGAAGCTTCTACGTGTGACGTCATAGGTAAACATATAATGGCAATCTCCATGTTTTGCTATAGGAAACCTAAAATACGTGTCGAATAAAAAAGTAAAATAGGAGGTGCACAATGGCAATATGTAATAAAGATTCTGTGAAAGTTTCATTAAATTTCACTCAGTAGTATAAGAGGATAAGAGATAAAGCGTAACAGACGGACGGACGTACAGATGGACGGACGGAAATGAGTCATTATCAAAAATCGCCAAAATTTTGGTCACAAGCCGATCAAAAAGTATATGAAGTAAAAATTATATAAATTTTCATATCACTATTTAGAATACATTATTCTGTAGTTGGCAGAATATTAATTTTATAGCTGTGTGATATATTTAAAGAAAAAATGCATTGATAATAGCTCAAATTAGCACATTTTGTGATGTCACACACTCCTTTCCATTGAATTAACAAGTGTTTTATGGCATATGTTGTTCATTTTCTTTTCATTTTTTTCCTTGTATGCCTTAAACTATTCATAATAAATGCCATAAAAACACTAAAATTGTCTTAAATAAGCTCATCTTGTAAATATGAAGACTAAAAGGTGTGTCCCACGAGTTTTTGTCTCTCCTGTTACGCCAATGAAAATCAAGAAAATAGAAATATTTAGAATTAACTTTTCTGGGTTTCATACTAACCATTAGCCTTGGTTACATTTCCATGTTACTAGGTTGTTAATGTAATTTTTTTAAATTTGATAAGTTTGAATAAAATGTCCAAAATATAACTACGATTTACAAAGTAGAAAAAAATGACGTCCGTACTGTTACATTGAAATAAAGCTTAAACAATGGAGTGAAACAATTTTAACTTCTTTTACAAAATAACTTAAACATTTTGTTTCAAACCTACTGCATCATCAGCTTGTATGGTAATCAATAAGGAAAAAAATGACCAAATATAGAGCAATTGTCTACACTGTTATATGTCCATCCTGTTACGTGTTAATTTGTAACAGTAAAGACAATTTTTGTAACAGGAAAGACTAACATTAAATAAAATGTGGATTTTAGACCTATCTCATCATTAACCAAGAAATTTATTGCATGATTTTTATTAAAATTGAAGTAAGTGACACAAATACACCTTGAGTAAGAATTCATTGTTTCTAATTGTTAATTGAAACATAAAAAGTGATTTTGTTACAGGAAAGACATAGCATATTGTAACAGTACGGAAAAATTTTGCTTAAATCAGAAAAAATGTGGACTTTTATTAATTTGTCAGATTTAACATTATTTTCATTTTATTACTTTGTAGTAATTATTGTATTTTTTATTCTTTTTTCAACTATGAAAAGATAATTTTTGATATTATTAAGGACTTCTAAATATGATTCTGTAACAGGAAAGAAAGGCATTGCTATAAGATAAACAATTTTTGAGAACTTTTTTTCTTATTAGCACAGTATAATATAAATTCAATATATGATTTTTTATTTATTAATTCAGTTTAACAGGAAGGACTCAATAAATTATGGTTCTTAGCTATAGGCAGTATATATTTTTCCATCTCTAAAAAAAAAGTTTCACTCAGGTTAAGGGATTTGTTACTGCCCTGTTTAGGTTGGAATTTAGGCCCAATTCCTGAGGGTCATTCGTCTCGTGAGGTTAAACTTAGGGTCATAAAACCCAAACCATGGTATAATTTACAATACACCACAAAACAGTCAAAATTGTATGGTTTATCTATTATTACTGACCATGGCTTTGCTACATGTAATGAGAAGATTTTTAAAGATTTTTCATAATTATTTGTACCCCCAATATAACTCTAAATTAACCAATAGATGCCAAACCCTACACAAGTGATCATGATTTGAACAAATTAGAATGTACACTAAGTATAAATGCCTTTATTCATATTTAACTGATCGATTGATTGATTATATTACTGTTTAACGTCCTTATCAAGGGTTTGCTGTTCCTGAAAAGAGATTTGTTGATATGTGTCTCAACTTACGCCAGTAATATTTTGATCAGTCATAATGCCATACCCTACCCTAGGGGTTCATGATTTGAACAATTGCAAACTTTAATCTACACTATGTCATGAAGCTTTATATTTAAATTTTATCTTTTCTGGTCTTTTTTAAATGACATGGCAAAGAATTTCATTCTTTCTTAATTATCTTTTGGAAGAGGGTGTGACCCTTCATTTGAACAATTTAAATTTCCTTTTCATAAGATATTCTGTGCTAAATATAGTTAAAATGACCAAGATAAAAAAAATGTGAGAAGTTTAAGAAAACAGTAACAATAAAGTTAACACCAACAAACAAAACACAAATCTCAATCAGAAAAGCTCATCTGAGCATTTGGCTCTAATACGGTAAGCTACCGGTAAACAAAACATCATGAGTGTTTCGTTTTTTTCTTTTTGTTTGTTTGGTTGTTTTTGTTTTGTTTTGTTGAAAATTGCCATGTGATTTAATTTCCCAATCAGTGATAAAATGAAAGTAAATTCCCAATTTTGATGACCTAGCTAGGACCCATTTCCAAATTGCAGTGGAAAATTCTCAAGTTAATCAAACAACTTGCCAGAAACATACACTCTTTTGAACTACCAGGTAATATTTTATGTTTCTATATT